TTTCAAGGGGCCATAATTGTATATTATTATACCTTACATATATTTCAAACAATTCTATTGGGTAAAACGTTATCACGTGACATGGAATAGTTCAGTTAATTTTCATTCAATTGCAAGGAAGAACGAATTACCCTAAAAATTTACACCAGCGTTGAATAACCCTATTATTCACCGACAAATAACCTTTTTACTTTGTTGATTTGTACCCATGAAAATGACGTCACAGACGTAAATAAACACAAGAGTGCACACGCTGAAATGTCTCACCTTCTTTACTAATCATTGATATTATGTTGATAGTCCTAAATATAAAGCTTTATTACAACTGTCACATAAACTTAACATTAACCAAGTAAACTAAACCTTGACCAATGAACCATGAAAATGAGGTCAAGGTCAGATGAACCATGCTAGGCAGGCATGTACAGCTAACAATTCTTCAATACAACAAATATAGTTGACCTATTGCTTATAGTTTAAGAAAAACAGACCAAAACACAAAAACTTAACACTGAGCAATGAACCGTAAAAATGAGGTCAAGGTCAAATAAACCTGCGTGACTGCCAAATAGATCATAAAATATTTCCATATACCAAATATAGTTGAACTATTGCATATAGTATTAGAAAAAAAGACCAAAACTGAAAAAACTTAACTTTGACCACTGAACCATGAAAATGAGGTCAAGGTCAGATGACATCTGCCCGCTAGACATGTACACCTTACAATCATTCCATACACCAAATATAGTAGACCTATGGCATACAGTATAAGAAAAACAGACCAAAACACAAAAACTTAACTATAACCACTGAACCATGAAAATGAGGTCAAGGTCAGATGACACCTGCCAGTTGGACATGTACACCTTACAGTCCTTCCATACACCAAATATACTAGACCTATTGCTTATAGTATCTGAGATATGGACTTGACCACCAAAACTTAACCTTGTTCACTGATCCATGAAATGAGGTCGAGGTCAAGTGAAAACTGTCTGATGGGCATGAGGACCTTGCAAGGTACGCACATACCAAATATAGTTGAACTATTGCATATAGTATTAGAAAAAAAGACCAAAACTCAAAAACTTAACTTTGACCACTGAACCATGAAAATGAGGTCAAGGTCAGATGACACCTGCCCGCTAGACATGTACACCTTACAATCATTCCATACACCAAATATAGTAGACCTATGGCATACAGTATAAGAAAAACAGACCAAAACACAAAAACTTAACTATAACCACTGAACCATGAAAATGAGGTCAAGGTCAGATGACACCTGCCAGTTGGACATGTACACCTTACAGTCCTTCCATACACAGAATATACTAGACCTATTGCTTATAGTATCTGAGATATGGACTTGACCACCAAAACTTAACCTTGTTCACTGATCCATGAAATGAGGTCGAGGTCAAGTGAAAACTGTCTGATGGGCATGAGGACCTTGCAAGGTACGCACATACCAAATATAGTTATCCTATTACTTATAATAAGAGAGAATCTAACATTACAAAAAATGTTAACTTTTTTTTCAAGTAGTCACTGAACCATGAAAATGAGGTCAAGGACATTGGACATGTGACTGACGGAAACTTCGTAACATGAGGCATCCATATACAAAGTATGAAGGATCCAGACCTTCCACCTTCTAAAATATAAAGCTTTTAAGAAGTTAGCTAACGCCGCCGCCGCCTTAGCCGCCGCCGCCGCCGGATCACTATCCCTATGTCGAGCTTTCTGCGACAAAAGTCGCAGGCTCGACAAAAATGGCAATGTTCAAGTTACAGGAAACCCATTGATCGAGAGAAGAGGAAATAAGGCTTTTGACGTGCATCTTGTGCCGATGATATCTCTTATAACGGTCCTTTTCAGGGCCATCCAATATTTTACAAAAAGAATCTACCTTTGTTGTACATATGAGAATTCTAAGACATAAATTACATGTATTTTTGAACGTCAACTTGTGTTTGTTACTGACTCAAGTAAGGGTAAGTGCTATTACAATTATTCAAAATGCCCTTCCACTGTTAGTTCGGTATAATAAAACAATTGTGGCCCCTTAGAAGCGATGAATATCCAAAATTGTCAACCCTTAAAAGTTATTTCACTTTGGGCTGCGCCCTCAGTGAAATAACCTTCTCGTGTTGACAATTTTGGATATTCACCTTTTCAACGAGCCATAATTGTATATTATATTGTAGTGATACAAATCAGTATACACTGGTTTGTTGTTATATATTATATTAATATAACAGTTACATTTATATATAATTTTCATCCATTTGTATATCATTCTATTCTACTATTCTAATAAGAGTGCAGTCGAGTGCATGGTGGACACTCTTCTGTAAAAATTCAATTTTTCTAAAAGATTGGATATGAGTAGGCATATTAATGATTTTTTACTTATATATTTATATCTAACGACAAAACATTTTCATATTATTAATTTATGTTCTAAACAAAAATATTTTTATCAGTATTCATTGAAAAGATGTATTTATAACAAACGATAAGGAATGTTATTTTGCACTCGTTAATATCCGCGTATTTATCATGTTTATAGATCGGTTACAAACCCAAAACAAAAGTTACGTAATGGAAATCTAGGCGATAGCAATACATCAGAATGCCCTCACGGCCATCGCGATGTAAAAATCATTTGGAATTTTTATTTAGCCATGGTATTTTGAACTCCCTACCATGGAAAGTTGAACCCACCCCCCTAATAGACCTCAGATTTTCAAATTGTCATAGCTATTCCAACTATGTTATATAATAAAAATGCATTAATAAGTATTTGGTAGGGATAAAACAAGTTAGAAAAGATGTTTAAACATTTTAACTTAGCCATGGTATTTTGAACCCCCTGCTATGGAAAATTGAATTTGGTAGGAATAGAACATTTAAGAAAAGATCTTTAAGAACTTTTATTTAGCCTTGATATTTTGAACTCCCTACAATGGATAATTTTCAGGGTGTTTAAAATACCATATGACACCATCACAATTTTCACCATAAATACATAACAAAACTGAATCTTTTTTAAATGTTACTCCCAAATGTTGAACTGAATTATTTAAAAAAAAAGGGGCGAAAGATACCAGAGGGACAGTCAAACTCATAGATCGAAAATAAACTGACAACGCCATGGCTAAAAAATAAAAAGACAAACAGACAAATAAAAGTACACAAGACACAACATAGAAAACTAAAGACTAAGCAACACGAACCCAACCAAAAACCGGGGGTGATCTCAGGTGCTCTGGAAGCGTAAGCAGATCCTGCTCCACATGTGGCACCCGTCGATACATCTATAAATCTTTACGAAATTTTTAATCAAATCAAGACATCACAACCTGATGTAATAAGTCATAATGTGTTGAAGATTTGCCTGATAAGGTAGCCATACCCCTTCAATTACCTTTTAATAAATCCTTTAGGCAGTCAAACTATCTGTCAAACTTGAAAATTTCAAATGTCATTGCTTTATTCAATTAAGCAGATGTGTCATCTTATATTGGCGACCCTGGGTATGTGAGCTTGCTCACTGAAGGTTCTTTTATTTACATTGTCATTCCTTTAAAGTTGGTGCAGATTATATTTTAATTTGTTTCAATGAGACAAATGATAATTCACCAATCAAGATCAAGAATTAAACTTTTTGCTCAAATGAAATAAGGAATTTAAATCAAGAACCTTCCACACATGATCTCATACATGTGAGAGAGTTGTCTTGTCACAACTGGAGATTTGAAAATTTTCAGCTGGAGTTTGGGCCTCATAACTGGAGAATTTATATTGACATTTTTATCAACGTTTTTCATTTTTCCTGTTAAGTTTAAGTTATTTATCATGCTAGTTTAATTACACATTCCCTATTTTTGTAAGATTACAGCATTACCATTAATCATGATTAATGTACTATTATTTTCTTAACAAGCTAGATGAAAGTTTAATGCGGAACTTTTACATTTGTCAAATTAAAATTAAAATGATCCCATAGCTTTAAACTTTATTCTTTTGAACTAAAATAAAATCATGGAATAAAAACATTCTAATGTCTATCATATAAACACTCCAAAACTGAGGGAACAATGTGATGCTGCTGTACTTTGTAGTTTTGATTGTAGTTTGGTCACTATGCAATTTTAATATTGATTTTTTTTTAGCTCATTGTACTATCCCGAACAAAAGGAATGATTTATAGAAATAAAATTTCTTTCAGTACCATTCTGACTGGTAAGGTATATTTCATGGCACTGCATCATATAAGTTGTAAAATCAGTATACATACCAGCTGAGAAACTACACATTTATAATCATAATGTGTCAGTGCATTAATAAAAGTATGATTATCAAAAATAATTTGCAATATACTTTTTTTTTGTATGTTCAAAGAAAGTTTTTACCCTTGAGGTTACGTTCTTATATAATTGTGTATTCAATTTGTAAGTTATTCCTACTTTCAATGATAGATAATATTTTAGGAGTAGCGGTGGGAATAGGGCTAAATAGGCGTTAATTAACGGTTTGTTTGACACCCAGGCCGTCAATTGAAGCCAGTGAGTTGTCCACTGAATTTGCTGGTATAACCACCTTAATTAATGACACAAATTGATATTAATTAGGGTCAACAAGGGAATGACATTGATTTTATAACAAAATTTTCGAAAAAGCGGAAGATTTAAATTCTTAACGGGAGGGACGGAAGAGAGCTTAAAAATCAGGAAATTTTGACACCCGCCGAAAGAATCACATGTATGTGATTTTCCTCATGTTTAATACAATTCCCAACAAACAAAATGAATAAAATGTAAAAAAGTTAACAAATGGATGAAAATCGAAAATGCCGAGTGATGCAAAAGCAAACATTGACCTTTGTGACTAGTTGACTAACAACTAATCATGGATCTACCTGGTGGGTTCACGACTTACTGTCAGTGTGTATAACAATTGTCTACAATAACAAGGAAATCAATGCATACCCATAGATGCTACTTTAATCAAAATAGCTGACACCCCTGAATCTATCATTTCTTTCAGCAGTTCTGATTGGTCCCTTCTCCAAAGATAGGCTAAGGAGGTAAGTCCTAGTCTCTGACAACTGAAAATAGAACAAGCAGAGATTAACTTTTTATCAATAAAGCTGTGTCTCCAATAAGTTTTGACAAGATGAAATACTGGTGCACAATTCTTACAAATATAGAAAACATTTCATAAAATGAATAGTATAAACATTTAATTTGGACATTTTCATAGCAAAACTAACTACCTCTCTTTTCAATGACTCGTTGCAATAACTATATGCATAGAAATAACAGCCAAAAAATGGTTAATTTCAAATCTTATAGAATTGTAAGTATGCTTGGCAAATGACACACAAATTGGCGAAGAGTTGCATATTTTTTTTTAAGAAAAGGAAAGAAAAGGTGGTAGAGGGCATACCCTTTTGATTGGAAAATACATGTATATCATTATTAGCATTAAATTGCCCAAAAATTTATTTGCATCGCTACGCTTGGCGATATTACTTCACTTTTATAAAATTACACCCCCCTTTAAAAAATCCTGGATCCACTCCTGAGGCTGAACAAGACCAATACTTGGTCTGGACCTACATTGCTGCATGCAACTGATTGGGTTAACATGTGTAAGCATAAATGAAAAAGATTTATTTCCAAAAATATGTTCAATTGGACTTGAATAAAGTATTTTTATTGATGTTATGTTATGTGGGATGTAATGAATGTTGAAAAATTCCAAACTAAAGGTAAACATAAAATTCAAAACTAATGGTAAACAAGTTAACTAATGTTAAAATAGCTTTTTTCACAAAAAATTCAAAAGAGCTACCATATATCAGACTGTAAAATTCACTTATTTCTTTCCCTGCACAGTGTTAATGAGGAATAAAATTGTGCATACAAAATACAACTATCTAACAGGAATTAAAATTACTGTATTTCAAGCATTATGTTGGTTCCTGTTATTCAATAGGCAGAATATGGTGTTATGTCATTGTGTTACAACTGTCAAAGTCCAATTTCTCCTATAAAAAGGTGGAATCATAATGACGGTAAAACATGGTAAATTACACAAGATCCCAAAACATCCTCCCAAGTATGAGAGAGAATTCTGTCAAAGGGTCTCAATGAGTTGGGTTCACAAGTTTTCATTGTGGAAGGATAGTAAAAAAAAGTCCAAGTCTCAAAACTACAATAACAAGACCAATACCGGGTCTGACTAGTGTCGCTGCATCCAATTGATTGAGGTAACATGTATACTGGAGCATTACTCATCATTTCCTTTCATTAAAGACAAAATAAATGCATATAAATTTTCCTTGTACAATGAGTGTTCAAACAATCAGCAAATAGGAAGTGGCTGCACCACGGATGTAAAAATTGCTTACTCGCTACAACTTAACATTACCATGCTCCAGACCAATTCTTAAATCATTCCCTTTCATTGAAGCCAATAAAACTTTTGACGAAAGATCTTCACCCAAGGTCTTTCAGAAGGACAGACGGACAGAAGGACAGACGGACAGAAGGACGGATAGAGGGACAGACAAAGTCGAGCAGTTACCAGAAATGCTTTTGCCTTCAGCAATGGAGGTAAAATAGCCAAATGAAATGACAGTATAATATGGTCAACTACATATGATGGTAAATAATCCTACTATGCAAGTATGAGATCTTTGTGTCTAATGATGTCAGAACCTAAGTTAGCTTTTGATCTTTCGACCACAAAATCAATAGGGGCCTTCTTTACCCAAGATCAAGCAACTTTTGGTACAGATATTCTTTATGGTAAAAAAAAAATGAAATCTTGATGCCCGCAAGGCACTCGTCACATTATTAGCTATTTTGACTTTATATAACAACTTGTCTTAAAAGACAAAAAAGACATACCTAGAGTACTTATGAGTCCTGCTTCAACTAATAAATAAACCATGTTTTCCCAAGCTTAAACATCAATCAGAGCACCTCCATAATGATTTAGTGTAAAGACATCATACGAGAAAGGCATGACCTTGTGCAATGCCAAAATATAAGTTTTAACAGGAAATAGGTCAATAAGTATTATTAAATGGATAGCAATAAATGTTTTATTATTGAAAATAAAATCAATCACTGATTACTGATAAACACAATATCCAAAGAACTAACTATCCAATATTTTATGGTAATATTCTTTACAAAGCACAAAAATGTCGGCATTCACCTCAAAAGCTAACCAAACCTTTAAACAGACTATCGGAAAGGATATAGTTACGATACTGTTGTCAAGTCATTAAGGATTGCATATTTTGGTATTAACATTGATTCACTCATAGGGTCTTTGCATCGGAAATAAACACATTTATTCTAAAACCAGTTGTTGGCATGATACAGGTTATGTTCTTCTCATATATTTTATGATGGTATGATACTAAACCCCTAACGGGAGGGATTGTACTTGATTTTCATATGATGAAGACATAATCTTTCAATCAGTTTAATTGAGGTCTGGAGCTGGCATGTCAGTAACTGCTAGTAGTCCTTTGTTCATTTATGTATCATTGTCATTTTGCTTAGTTTCTTTTGTTACCTATTCTGACATCGGACTCGGACTTCTTTTAAACTGAGTTTTACTGTGCGTATTGTTATGTGTTTCTTTATTCTACATTGGCTAGAGGTATAGGGGGAGGGTTGAGATCTCACAAAACATGTTTAACCCCGCCGCATTTTTTGCGCCTGTCCCAAGTCAGGAGCCTCTGGCCTTTGTTAGTCTAGTATGTTTTTTTAATTTTAGTTCATTTATATGTTTTGGAGTTTAGTGTGACGTCCATTTTCACTGAACTAGCACACAATAGTTAGGGGCCAGCTGAGGACCACCTCCGGGTGCGGGATTTTCTCGCTGCATTGAAGACCCATTGGTGGCCTTCGGCTGTTGTCTGCTCTTTGGTCGGGTTGTTGTCTCTTTGACATATTCCCCATTTCCATTCTCAATTTTAACTACCAGTTCTATTCTAAATGGATTACTTTAAGAATAAGCTTACATGGGTCAAATATGAATTTACGGGCTCTATAAAAAACATCAAAGAACGGAATATCCTGTGTGTAATAAGATTTCTTCAGGTTTATAAAGTATTTAAAGGCTGATATTTATTCTAAATTTAAACACCACCAAAAAAAGCTTAAATGGCCTTTTACAAAAAATCATTCTCAACCACTACAGTTCCGTCACAGCTGAGATCACCCCCGGTTTTTTGTGTGGCTCATGTTGCTTTAAGTCTTTAGTTTTCTATGTTGTGTTTTGTATACTGTTGTTTGTCTTTTGGTCTTTTTCCTTTTTTGCCATGGGGTTATCAGTTTGCTTTCGACTTTATGAGTTCGAATGTCCCTTTGGTATCTTTTGCTTCTCTTTAAGATTAATTTGCGGCTGCTCCTAACAAATATATTTTTTGAACATCAATATGTAGAAATAATGACAGAAAATTTAGCAATTAAATAGACATACATGTACATCATATAACACATATAAACACCAAATGTGATTGAAAAATAATGAGCTATTTCCCTAAAAACTCTTTTTCCAAAAGTGGTTGACAACAATGCAATAAATAGAACAGACATCAAAGACTCCTGTAAACTTCTCATTTACTTGCCCCTCATAATAATAATATCAGCTATACCTTTTTGTAAGTTTTAACTTATCACTACTAAATAATTCAAAATTTGGTGACTATGTTGAACGCATCTATCCCATCGAACTTGAGATAAAGAATACAACAGATACAGTTAAGTCTGCCTTATATCTTGACTTGCATCTAGAAATTGACAATGAGGGTCGGTTGAAAACAAAACTTTATGACAAAAGAGATGATTTCAGCTTCCCAATTGTGAATTTTCCATTTCTACTAGCAAAATTCCAGCAGTGCCTTCATACGGAGTATATATCTCCCAGTTGATACGATATTCCAGGGCTTGTATTTCCTATCATGATTTCCTTGATAGAGGGTTGATGCTCACAAGGAAGCTATTAAACCAAGAATTCCAAGTGGTGAAGTTGAAATCATCCCTTTGTAAATTTTACGGGGTTCGTGTTGCTCAGTCTTTAGTTTTCTATGTTGTGTTTTGTGTACTATTGTTTGTCTGTTGGTATTTTTCTTTTTTAGCCATGGTGTTGTCAGTTTATTTTCAACTTATGAGTTTGAATGTCCCTTTGGTATCTTTCTCCTATCTTTAACAGTGTAGTGTACTACATTTGGGCCAAATTTTATCAAAATTATAGAAAAGTCTGTTGGCTCTTACTCAAAATATTGACAATTTTATGTTAAGGGGGTCTATAAATCAGTTTGACAGCTTCAGACATACTAATTTTTGACTTTTTCAACTGGACATTTTTATATTTGAACTTTGGGTAGTTATTTTTGACATTTAAATCAAACAATTTCAACTTTCAAGGTTTGGGCCTACAAAATTTATATATTGCAAAAAAAAAGCATTTTAAATGCCTTAATATATATACTGTAGCATATATAAAGCATCTGAATACTCATTTGATGTATCAGATTTATAACATTATTCTTCAAAAGTCAAATTTATACGAGCCTATGCCTGAAAATATAGATTTTCAAATGAAGGGGGGGGGCTTATACAATATTGTAATTTTATCCACCAAATCAAAATTTGTCAAGTAATTTTGTTATAAATAATTTTCAAATTGTCATAGCTATTCAAACTACTTTATATAGTAATAATGCATTAATAAGCACTTGGTAGGAATAAAACATGTTTGAAAATATTTTTTAACATTTTTACTCAGCCATGGAAAATTGAACCCCCCTCTATAAACCCCAATATATTGACCTGCCCAACAGCTACCTGAATATCTAGTATTTATGGCATTTCAACTATTCATCTAATTATAATGCTCAAATAAGCATTCTGACTGCATGAGTAAACTATGTTATAACACATTTCCTGAATATGTTATGTTGACCCCCTACTAACTTAGCCTCTTGATGTCATAATTTCAGATTATAATAGTATTTCAAATACTTAACCTAGCTAAAATATGCCAATAAGCATTCTATTTAAACAACATATGTTGGGGAAAAATGTCCCAACAATTTTTCTTAACCATAGTTTGACCCCCATCATGGAAAATTGACCCCTGCTTGTTCCCTCTTTTTGACTAAAGAATCCTATATTTCAGATTTTCGGATTTTAAGCAATTGTTATGGAATTATGACCATTAATTGCAAGAAAATATCAAATTGCACTAGATGATGTTTTAGCAGGGGGTTCAATTTTCCATATTGCACCAGACCAGCTGCATATCTTTTGCGAAATGGCAATGATATTATTGCTCCTTTTTGTAGATTATCCCTTACTAAAGAATCTTTTATACCATCAACTTTAAGACAATGGAATGATACTGATTTGCCCCTTCAAAAATCTTAAAATTTAAAATCCAATTAAAAAATTCTATAAATAAAATTATTTCATATCGGTTAAGAATTAGCTTCCCTTATTGGATAACAAGGGGCCACATGACATTCTTTATTCTTCAGTAATAATTTCTATCGGTCTTTAACAGAAAAAAACGGACAGGAAAACCGGTTGTTAACAGAATTTTACATGTTAATGACCGGTGGGGCGTGGTTTCTCTGTTTAGAGAGATGTCCCTTTAATAAAACATTTTCCTGATTTTTAATTTTATATTGAAGCTATTATATTGTTTACCATATGATTTTGTTAATTATAAACTTATAAGATTATAGAAAACTTTATTTTGTTTTCATATACTGAAAAATTTTATTTAAATGAATGGTAGTGACTTATAGTTATCACTATGACTGGTCTTCACTCTTTCCTATAGAAATCGTACAATAACTCGAGTTTGTTTTGAACAATTTAAATTTATGAGAATTTTTAAAAACATGGTTCCTCAATGAAATAAACATAATAGTTACTGAAGAACTGGTCATTATCGTGATACATGGACTGCCCGTAGGACAGTGGTATTGACTGCGACAGTGATAATGACCTCGCCTACGGCTCAGTCATTATCGCTGTCTTAGTCAATACCACTGTCCTTTGGGCAGTCCATATATCACGATAATGACCGGTTTTTCAATAACTATTATGTAAGTGTACCTAAGCACTATTGATATGGACAGAGGAAACTGAATATAATTCTAACTCAATTAAGATGCTTCTCATCTTTCTCAAATCATGACTTGTTCAGAGTCAATATAACTGCTGACTCATCTTGTCTTTGTGGGTGCATCATTGAGACTGTACACCATTTCCTCTTCGACTACCCTTAATATACAGACCAGAGAGATATTCTTATGAACAATCTTAGATGGCTCCCTGATGACCTTATATTGAATGTTAAGTTACTAACATCTGGTTATCGGAACCTTTTGAATGAAAAATATAACCAGATATTTAAACGTGTATTTGAATTTATCAAAAGGTCTAAGAGATTTCTTGTCATATGATATTGAAGAGTGAATTTGCTGTACATTCACATATCAACATTACCAATTTTGCAGTTAATATTTTGGTCACCCTTTTTTTCAATAGCTAGACTCCTAAATTATTGTTAACTTTTAAATATTGCATGCTCATATTGACATTGTATTAAAATGTTATATATTGCTAGACTTCATAAGTATGGTTTACTTGTGTCCAATCCATTTTACTTTGAGTAAATAAAATATGTTTAAACTTAACTAAACTACACTTCAATAATTTAAAGTCATTTTTTTTAACTGAAATAAAGGAAATCAATAGGCAACCTGCTTCAATACTGCAGTAACCTAACATAATAATTCAGACCCAAGGCAACCTGACTCCCTGAAAACTCGGCCCATAAAAAACTCTGACTATAAAAAAATCAACCTCACAAAATCGGCCTATAACAAACTTGGACTACCAGATGAATATATTAATTATGATAAACAATGTTATATACTTTATTTGAAATTAATTATCAGTACTTTGTTAAAATAAATTATTTTGAACATATTACAAGAGTAGGAAAACAGAGTTATTGATTTTGTTATCAGTAAATTAAAATCATACTAATAGTTTTGTTATACACATATGCACTTAAACAGTACTACAATCTGTCGATCCTTTATTTTGGCATTACACAAGGTCATGTTTTTCTCTGACTGTTAATGACGTCTTTACACTAAATCCATTGGATGTTGGATGTGTGCTGATTGATATTGTACTTAGATACATGATTTTTTTTAATAGTTGTTATTGGCTTTTAAATAGCTGTCAGTAACTACAAGTACTCTCAGATCTGTACTTAGTGTCATTTCTGTTGTTAGGGATGAGGGATGAATAAATACCCTGCCACGTCCGGTCTGTGTTCATGTTTGATGTTTTTTGCTTTGTATCGATCTGATGAGTTAAGCCTTTTTCAACTGATTTTTATAGTTTGTTTCTTATGTTGTACTGTTACACCATTGTACCAGGTTAAAGGAAGGATTGAGCACTCACAAACATGTTTAACCCCACCACATTCTTTATGTGCCTGTCCCAAGTCAGGAGCCTGTAGTTCAGTGGTTGTCGTTGGTTCATGTCTGTCATATTTGTTTTTCGTTGTTTTTTTATAAATAAGGTCGTTAGTTTTCTCAATTGAATTGTTTCATATTTTTCATGTCGGGGCCTTTTATAGCCGACTATACGGTATGGGTTTTTCTCATTGTTGAAGGCCGTATGGTTGCCTATAATTGCTTACATCCACTTTATTTGAACTTTGATGGATAGTTGTCTCATTGGCAATCATACCTCATCTCCTTATTTTTATTATGTTCCTTGACAAATATCTAATTTTCATTTCACTAATTACTTTATCATATGTTACGGTTAGTTTTATCTTTGGCATTATTTCATAATAAGATCGTTTATAATTGAAATCTTTTAGTAGTTCTGGAGTATGTTGTTATTATTTATTAATAAGTTGTTGTAGTTCCAAATTTCATATCAAACAATATTTCATAAACTTTACTATATATATATTGCAATTATCGGGTTACGTACAATTATGTCTGAAGACAAGTTTCCTGTCTGAAAAGGTAAATATAAAAAGAATTGATTGCCAATGAGACAACGTTTTTTTAACTCTCCACAATAGACCAAATGACACAGAAATTAACAACTATAGGTCACCGTACAGCAAAGCCCATACCGCAAAGTCAGCTATAAAAGGCCCCGAAATGACAAATGTAAAACAATTCAAACAAAAGCTTTTTTTCAATTAAACTTTATTCATTATAAACACATATATAACAATATCTTATGGATCTAAGTTTATTTAAAGACTATTTTCATATTTGTTTTCAAAAATATTTATTAAAACTCGTAAATTCATATATATAAAGTCAATGAAAGTTGTTATAAAATAATAATTTTATTTTGGATGTAACACGTCTTCTGATTGGCTGAACGTTTTTGTCTATCAGCTCATAGACATAATTCTGTCATGTGACCATGACCTCATCAACGTTTTTTTCAAGATTGACTCCTTAAAAATGGAATTTAGAATTAAATTATAAGGAATGACTGCAACATTTTTTCTGTCTATTCGAAATAACCTCAAAAATGTGGTGCACACTTTTAAATAACACGCTATGGGGGTTATTCAGTGTGCACCACATTATTTATGTTATTTCTTCAGAGACAGAAAAATATTACAGTCATTCCTTAATGAAAAATAAAACTAAGTAGAAAAAAACTAGTGAAAAACACAATCTACAAAGCATAGCCTGATATTGTTCACTTTAAATCTTTATATAAATAATGGTAGGCCAAGTTTGTTATATTCCGAGTTAGTTATAGTTCAAGTTTGTTATAGGCCGAGTTTGTTTTAGGCCGAGTTATCCAGCAGCAGGCAACCTTACTTATTTGTATCTCGCTTTTCATACAAACATTTTGAAAAGAAAATCTTACACATGTTCCACTCTTACTCGCTGATAATCAGATAAAATAGCACCAACAGAAACAGCTTCTATCTGTAACTCATCCTGTAATGAAAATTATATCATAACGATTCATTTTCATGGTAACATTCATATTCTTCAAAGGCTTAAGCTACATTTAAATCTGAGAAAAATTCTTAATTTAAAAACATAGTTTCTACAAATTACAATGTTTAACCTAACATGACCATTCTGCTTTGGATCTTAAGTAAACAATAGATAGCCATACTCAGAGGAGTCTGCATGAGTCAGGCCAGTCAATGACTCTTCTGGAATCTATGCATTACACTGACTCAATCTGCGTATATATACCAGTTGTGTATAATTATATTCTCCAGAAGAAAACTGCAAAATCAGATATAATGCTGAACCGCATCCACTTATGAATATTCAATGATCTCATTACCCATATTTTATCAAGGGATAGCATCAATGTTTCAAAGTTTGTTGGCAATTTACTCATCAATAAAAATTTCCTGATTTTTTTAAGGGGTTAAATTGAAGGTCACATGAATACCGATTCAATGAGATCGAATTATTCACTTGCAAGTGAATAATTCACCAGTGATGTTTCTTTGCTTATTTTGACAAAATTGAACCAAACTGGCTGCTAAAAGCGAATTATTATTTCACTATTTCACTTTCATTAAAGATTGAACAAAAACAATCATATTTTATTTTTTTTTATATATCTTGTAGCTTATGCCCCTTTAATTGTTTATTTCAGACTTTTTGTAATTTGGATATATGTTTTAGCATGTAATAAATCAAATATGAGAATTTGAGTCAAATCAATGAACATGAATTTGACAGCTAATGCCCCTTAAATATAATGCCTTATAAAAATCTATAAAACTATAACCTTTAATTATTTATTTAAAATATCTAATAATGAACAGTAAATTTTATACATAATTTCTTCTCTATAACTGGAATTTGATGTTGTATCCATTTTTTTACTATGAATCTACTTACAATTTCTATTAATTTTGCAATACAGCTCTGAATTTGGATTGTGATTTAATATTTGACATAGCATAGGTTTCTGACAAGAATGAATGTGTATGTGCCTGTCCCAAGTCAGGAGCCTGTAGTGCAGTGGTTGTTGTTGGTTCATGTCTGTCATATTTGTTATTTGCAAATTGTTTTGTTTTAAATTAGGCCGTTAGTTTTCTTTTTAACTTTTTTTTTTAAACACAGGGTTAGATTCAGCATATCAAAGAACTCTAAGAATTCAATTTTATTTTGGACCCTTTGGACCTTATAGTCATATAAAACGAGTTGATTGTAATTTCAATATTATCGAAATTATTGAACCAATGCAAGCATATATACTAAACTAAGTCCTGTATGCAAGTTTATTATATTTATTACAAATCTATAACGTATTATCGACAAATAACATTTCATTCAGTGTTTGCTGATCGCAAGCTCATTAACTTTCAAGTTTGTTTCGGAAGTTTATCAGATTGTGACATTGATAAACAATCAACATAGAGCATGTGAAGCACATGATAAATAAGTGAATGAATAGAGCCATAATATTTATTTTTATATTTTCCAGGTGTTCCCATTTGTTAATTAAACTTTTCCTTCACAGTTGTTAAATGATTTATTGTATTAAATTTGTTCTTTAAGAATCAGGTATCACTTTTTACCTTTTAGTGCAGGTTTGTTTACATTCTTTCATCACTGTTTTCCCCTCGCACTTGCGCTTTGCGGTGGCCGAAGTTCTAACAAGTGGTCTCATAGTTAAAGTCACTGCATACAGGAAAGCATCAGTGAATTAGTGTAAGGGAGGACAATTATTCAATAGCAGTGCATTTATGAAGATTTTGATAATATGGAAGGACGTTCTTTTACAAGAAAGTTCGGGTCCACTTGTTTTATAGTAAAACTGCCATTCAATTATATAAAACATATTCAACTTTTTTATTTGAAGTTTCATATGACTTTAATGTGGACCAATTTGAAAATGGGGCCCAAAATTAAAAATCTAAACACACTTAAGTTTCCACATTTCAATTAACCCCAAATAATTCAATTTTTGATGAAATCAAACAAAGTTTAATTTTTGACCCTTTGGACCTTAATGTGGACCAATTTAAAAACACGGCTCAAAATCTAAAATCTAAAAACAAGGTTAGATTCAGCATAGAACCCCAAGAATTCAAGACTATGAATTAACCCCATTGAATTGGTCAAGAAATAAGCAATTTATATGAGGAAAAAGATAAGTATTATTTTTGGCCCCTTTTTCCTAAACTGTTAGGGCAATAACCCCAAAAATCAATCCCAACCTTCCTTCTTTTGGTATGGAACCTTGTGGTACAATTTCATAGAGATACATACACTTATACACAAGTTATTGTCCCGAAACAAGAAAAATACTTGTTTTTGGCCCCTAATTTTCTAAACAGTTAGAACTATAACCCCCCAAATCAATCTCAACCTTCCTTTTGTGGTATGGAGCCTTGTGGTACAATTTCATAGAGATCCATTCATTTATACTCAAGTTATTGTCTGGAAACCAAACGTCTTTGGACGAAGACAACGACAACGTCATACCATTATACTACTATATTAAATTTTGCAGTCGATTAAAAAACTGTAAAGGTTAGGGCAAATTCTTTCAAAACTTTGGGTCAAAATTTATTTTCATTATCAAAACAAAGTTTGAATTGCAATTCTAGCTCATTTATTTTTGATAAAGGGTAATTGGACTAAAAATTTAAAAAGTTAAAGCAGTTTCAGACAAAATTTCTTCTACTAAAAACTGAGCCACTATATTTCTTGTTCAAAATTTCAGCATCGAAGTTTCAACTTCTAGACCATAATTTTTATTACTTGTTTATTGTTTTCATTCAGTACCTCACAGTCTTCCTTTGGCTATATAAAAATAAGGAGATGTGGTATGATTGCCAATGAGACAACTATCCATCGAAGTTCAAATAAAGTGGATGTAAGCAATTATAGGCATTCAACAGTGAGTAAAACCCATACGTTTATAGTTGGCTATAAAAGGCTGCAACATAAAAAATGTGAAACAATTCAATTGCGAAAAACTAACAGCCTTCAAATACTACAGACATAAACCAATGACAACCACTGAACTACAGGCTCCTGACTTGGGACAAGCACATAAAGAATGTGGAGTGGTTAAACATGTTTGGGAGCGATCAACCCTCCCTCAACCTTGGACAGTGGTGTTACAGCACAACAAAGAACAAACTGTAAAAATCAGTTGCAATTGGCTTAACTCAAAAGATCGTTACGAAACAACTTACATCAAAACAATGGACACAAAGCACAGAAATACTCACATTTACTGAAAGCTAGTTCAAAGCCAATTACAACAAATAAATAATTCATGTTCTCCTAAATTGAAGTATCAATCATTACACATCAAACAGATTTAGTGTAAAGACATCATAAACAGTCGGAAAAATGACCGACCTTGTGCAATGCCAAAATATAAGTAAATAGTATCGATATATAGGCTGTTGGGGTTTGAGTTTTCCAAAAATGTCTTACAGGAGAATTTGGACATACAATTCTGAAAAATCCTGTGAAAGGTCAGATGCTACAATATGGTGTGAATATTGTATTTCTGATCCCTTTGAGAATTTTTTGTTGATAACTGAAAAAGAAAATTCTCTTCAAATATCATTTTTTTAGAGGGGGGTAAAAAAAATGTTTTTGGGGGGTTAAAAAAAAAATTTGGGACGGGGGGTCAATTTTTTTTCCTCAAGATTTAAGAAATTGTCAATTTTGCAAAGAAAAAAATTGGGGGTCACAATTTATTTTGCTAATTCTTTGTATATAGTCTCAAAACAGATTTACTAAGTATTGCGCAACAGCACAGTGTATTGCACAACATCAAGAAATCTTCAATTTAATATAAATTCAAATCATACAACCAATTTCAAGTTCTTTGACACATTTATTCTGTGTCAGAAACCTATAATGTGTCAAATATTTAATTACAATCCAAATTCAGACCTGTATCAAGCTTGAATATTGTGTCCATTTTTGCCCCAACTGTTCAGGGTTGGACCTTTGCGGTCGTATCCAGCTGCGCTCGGCGAAGCAGTTTATTTTTGATTTGTAAAGGAGCATAACTCTAGAACAGTTATAGTGACGCAACTTGATCTGTGTTTTGTGGTAATAAGCATTGTGTACGAGTTTCATAACATTTGGTTGAGGCAAACTAAAGTTAGAGAACGGAAACCAATTTTGGGACGTACAGACGGACAAGGGTAAAACTTAATGCCCCCTCCGCTATGGCAGGGGCATAAATATTCTAGTAGAGTAAGTAATGTAAATTCAGAAATTATTTGAGGTTTTTATTATTGGGAATAATGCGACTGGGTGAGTATCGCAATAATTAGAGCTTGCATTCTGATATCTGATACATATATATATATATGTATGCAGATTTTCCTGAATCGCAATAATTAATCACACATTTTTGTCCTTTCTTCAAAAATCTCAATAAATAAATGCACACAATAATTTCTGAATTTACAGAGCTCAAAGGTCACTGCCCAATATTAAGGTGAACTTGTCAGTAGGTACATAAGCACTAAACATTTCTACATAAATGTAAATGTATACATTAAGAAACTAGAAAACTGACACATCAGTAAGGGCACATTGTGAAAATTTCTAGGTTTGGCACAGAAGCAAATAATTTATACTGATCCAAACAAACCAATGCATGTTCATGGGGTATCATTTTTTTTGTAAATTTTGACACCCGGAAATAATTCAGGATGTGTTCTCTATAAATATCAAGTTTCATTAAAATCAAATCACTGCATTTCGGGAGTCATTTTAAAAAAAGCAGCTGACAGATAACTTTTGACTCAGGGAATGAATTTGGAATAGCATATAACATATTGTTTCTATACATTTTTGATCAATTTTCGTTTAAATCAAAGCACAAAAACATGTTTCTCAAATTTCTCGTGTGGTTTTTTTACCAGAATTTTTCAAGTCATAAAATCATGATTATACCTATAGATATTTTTTCATAGAAACAT